GCACAGCAATTCTCCACCCTCACCTCAGCTGTGCCACCCCTGTTCCTGTAGCTTTCTGTCACGAGCCCAAGAGCCAGGGAAACCCATCATCCCCAGAAGAATTCCCCATTGCCAGCAGAGTATGACACAGCTGATGTTTGCAACAGTATCAACCCTTTTACATCATCAGGAGAGTGTGACAGGACTGAAATACAGAAGAGAAATTAACTCATGAAACACATGCCAATATTTTCTTCGGGGAACCAGCTGGATTAAAGGTCTCTGCTGTTAGAGAACCTCATGGAGATCCTTCTTCATGAAACACTTTAGGCAGCTACTGTAAACATTAGTTAGTGACATATTTAAAATGAAAATTTCCCTCATGTTCTGAAAAAAACACAAAGGACACACAGTTGATCAGGAGTGGGACTATCCACAGACAGTAATAATGGCAGTCCCAGGTTTGGATCAGGACTGTAAGAGCACAGTTGAGATCTAGAGAAGTGGTAAGTTAATTTTTAGGTGTACATGGGGTGGGGATGTGAAATGTAACTTTACTCAGAGAAGATTTCTCCAGCATCAAGATCTTCATCTTTCAAAAAACTTACTTTCGTGGCCCTGTTCTCAGCTGCTCCTGCCTGCTTTCTGTCTGTCACATCCTTCCCTTGTAACAGGCTGCAAAGCTCTGAAGTCACCAGTGTTGTAGGTGTCTGCCTACAACATGTCTTATCTCTTCCAATCTTAAAACAAGGGTAGGAGTTCTGAACAGTCTCTGCCCCTCTGGAGGAGATTGTCAGTGACCTCATATGACCAAAAAACAAAACTATGTCTCTTAATTGTTGTGTTTCTGATTTAGAGCTGAGAAAACTCCATCTTCTTCAGCAAAATGTGGACAAATCTGTCACTGTCCATGTACTCAGATGTTGACTCATGGGTGACTATGCTTAGATTCCATGCTATGGATTGTTGGGCTTTTCTCAGCCTTGTTTCAGTCAAAGTGATCCTGTAAACACTGAAAATTATCCCCTCTTAGAGTACCTTTCAACTCATCCAGTCTTTGGAGTAAGTGACCACTGCACAGGTCTATAGACACATGGAAGAGAAAGAGATGGGGGTTGCGGGACACAGCTATAATCCTGAGATGAAGCAGTGAGAATTGCCACCATCCCTGACCCACACATGACTTCTAACAATACCTACAGTAAGAAGGGTAGGCCAGGAACTTGTTCCTCGGCAGCTGGGGGAGAATGGCAGTGTTTGCTCCAGGGAAGAGGACTAGGGTGATTTTCCCCATGCAGGAACCCTTCCAGCACAAGTGCCACATTTCCAAGAATAGATCGAAGTCAATAAATGTATCATACAATTATGTCCACTGATACTCTGAATATAAGGTGCAATTCAAATAGTTGGAGAGTCTGTGTCAGACTCTTGCTTATGATCAAAACCAGCAGCACTGGTAAAGCCACTGTAACAATTTGCAACGATTTGCTGTGGCAAAAGAGATCAGTAGTGGAGCAGCAGGTACATGGGCAGCTCTACTGTGCTTCTCCACAATAAGCAGAGTACACTAATGCAAAATCCAGCAGTTCTCCTTAGTTGGGATAATTTTCAGAATCCCTTCCCCCCATATTAAAATCCATCATTTGCTTGGAAACACACAAGGCATTTTAATATACTTTTCTACAAAGAGGGATGAGATGATAGAAGTAGAAACCACACAAACGAGGTAGTTGTGAAATGTATTATTCACCTGGGAAATATGCTGAATACTTTCTTTACTCTCAGCCAAATCTCTGCAGGAGAGTGTTTTGAGCTGGTGCAGTTAGCTAGGTATTCACAGATAGGACAGTTAGGGAGATAAGGTACCAAGCTGAGAGTCAGAAGATTTTGTTATAAATAACTTACATAGCACTAGGCAAGTTAACTCACTGCATGGTAGTTTTACCCATCTGTAAAACAGAGAAGATAATATTGACTTCTCTTCATAGAATAGAACTTAAAGAACAAAAAATGCTGTATAAGCCTAATTCAGATTCTCCTAGCAGGGGTGGAAGGATGTGAATTTGATAGGCCAGAATCAACCCTTCAAAGTTTTGAGCACCTAGAAGCAGTTGTCATTAGTATAACTAGACTCAGAGTTACCAGACAGCAATGATTGCATAATTTTTCTTTATCGGGAGTTCTCTCAAGGTTAGTCTTGGAAAAAACAAACATGCAGATGGAAACTTAAGAAATCAACCTGAAATAATGTAATTTCATTCCATCTTTAGACCTTATTCCTAAAATTGTTCAGCATGTCAATCTGATAGTTAAAAAAATGAGAACTACAGACTGATGGCATCAGTGAGGTTTATGTTTTCTTTATTCCCATAATAGACTAATCACATACCTTCAGAGAATTAGGAGCTGTAGCCAGTGGTTTGGAACACAACTATTCTACTTAGCACTTACTTACATACACCAGCAATAGATGCAGTGTTCTGTGCTGGCAATTTCTCTGCTTCCTAAATATTCACCCAAATTGTCACTGTGGATTAGCACAGCTATCCAGAATGTGATCCCTAAGGCATGGCCCATGACTGTAAGGTTTAAGGAACATTAATAGGATAGTTCAGTAATTTTCCCACATCTCTAGCTACTCTATTCTCTTCCTCTTGAAAGGAAATAAAATAACAAGGTTGTGGATTTTTAACAAGCATAGAGGAAAAATCATCAGTGCTAAGGGATCCTGAAGGGGCTGTAAGAGCAAGTTCCAGCTCAAGCTACTAGAGATTTATGAAATTAATTTGAAGAAGTTCAATTTTGTTGCCATTCAAGCACAACAGAGCCTGCAAGCTGCTTCCGAAAGAATCTATGGTTGTTACCAGTGAGTAGCGTGACCCACAACCACTCTTCCCAGAGATGTTTTGAACTCCTGAAATGGACCAATTCACCCTCCATCACCAACAATTTCATTTGCAAACTTGGGTTCAGGAGCAGAGGTGTGTGTCTCAGAGATTTCAGTGCAGAGCTCTGCTGACTCAGCTGCCTCCCTCATTTCAGTATTAGAGCCATCAGCTTGTAGCAGTAGAGGCTTATGAAGCAGCCTAATTCTTTGCTCATCCCCAGGAGGACTGCAGCTCTCCCCAAACACAGTTAAGTGATTTTTAAATACAGGCCTCAGTACCTGCAGTGTCACGGTCTCTATGGCAGCCATGCCAGGTTTTTGTTCAGAGTGGTATTAAATAGCAGAGATTATTGCGAACAGAAAGGAATTGCAACTCAGTGAAACATTAAAACTTTAGAATCCAATTGAAATTAGCATCCACAAGTATTAAAATGCCCCTATAGCTTTTGCCACATTTTTAAATGTGTTGAGAGACCTAATTATTTCATTGCTAACAAAACAAAACATTACTACATTCCTCTTGGGGGAAATAATCGGCTGATTCTGCACAGAGAAAAATGGAGGCAGAGGTGAGATGTGCAGCAAAGACTGCTTGTGTTGTTACAAACCAGTCGAATCTAAATAGAAGAAAAATAAAGGCCTAGAATGGAATTACCAGTGCATGATAGATGCATAGTGTGTGTCACGTACATCTGTGTGTGTGTGTGTGTGTGTGTGTGTGTGTGTGTGTGTGTATGCAAAGTAACAAACATAACTTGAAAGTGCTTCTACCTTCTACTAATCTGTAGTCCATCAGAGGATCAAAATCATACCTCCAAACCCTACCTAACTGTATTTTATTTTTTCCTCTGGGGCTTGTTTTATTAGTTGGCTTCAAAATAATTGCTAAATAAATGACAATATTATATAGCATTTGGAACAAGCTAGTATGTGAATGTAGAAGGGGAGCTGAAGTCTATCCATTGAGTTTCTTTCCTTCAAGACTTACAGGATCACCCATTGCCTTACAGTATCTAGCTAATAAGCATTGTGCAACCGAGGTGTAGGATGCTGCCAGTACCACTCAGTTAACATATCTCAGCATTTGTGGAGCTTCAGAAAGCACATTTTGACTGTTTTTCCTTCCTTTCAACCAAAATACTCATATCGAGCTGTGCCATATTTCGAGTATATTCTCAATACACTAATTTGCACTTTAAAACCCTAAAAAATAAAAAAAATAAAAAAATAAAAAAAAAATCCTACATTAAATAGCACTTTAAATTGTTTTGTAAATGTAAAAACCAGTCACACAGAGAAAACATGATTCTCAGTCTATCCTCATGGGAATGTGTGGAGCAAAATGGGAAAATCTGACAACCTATTTTCATTATTTACAGCCAAGAGTAAATTTTACTCCATCTAGTTTCCAAATTTATGGCCTGCTGTAGTGTTTTGTGTATGTAGTGTCCTGTGCTGGCATTGAAAATACTGTATGTGTTTCAGAGGAGAACATCAGAAAATGGATTGGGTTTTCTTTAAATCCACGTTCTGCTGTCATATTTCCATATGTAACGTACTCTGTGTGTCTAAAATGTGTACAGCCATTCTGCATGACTGATACCGGAAATGCTATAAAACCATCTGGGTAAATTTTGGGGAGGGGAAGAGCAGGAATTTCCCCCTCAGTAACACCGCACACAGGTGTAAACCAGCACAAACAGAATATACTCAAATACTAAAACACAACTCTTGGTCCACTGCCTCTCCGGAGCTCTGAGCGACAGTAGGCTCCATGACAAGCAGGTCATCCATGCACCATCCGATGTCATGTGAAAACATACTCTGATTTCTAACCGCAGTCTTCTGCTCGCAGGACTAGGAACCACTGCACGCCCCTTTCTGAAAGGGCCCCTCAGTGTGGACGTACAGGTGGCTGCTGTCACACCTAATGGGATCACCTTTTGTTTCTCTTCCCACTTAACAGACTTTATTTTATTTTGGTGCAGTGCACATGAACGCAGTGTCTAGGACAGATGTGCTACCTTTTAGAGTGTCGCTATAGAAGTTTTTAGCTGTGAACCCTTAATTTGCAGCTGGAACTCTAATAAACAGTGCATAGTGTTTCAATAGCCTTCTGCTTATATGTTTGAAGATTCGAAACTGAATGGTGAGGTGGCCAAGGCGGCGCTGGCAAACGAAGACTGTCCCCACATAGACCAGGCTATTACGCCTGATGAGGGCCTGCCCTTTACCCGCTCTGGCACTCGGGAGAGATATGGACCCTGCTTCCTCTTATCAACCGGGGAATATCCCTGCCCGCCTGATGGAGGAATAAGAAAGGGTATGTAGCTGGGGCCCTGTAACCACGTAGCTAGCAACCGGTTTAAATAACTAAGAGAAAGTCAGCTTAGCTGTAGCACGCGATTAGTGCGCTTGCTGTAGAGATGCACGTTTGGGCTGGAAACCACCACCTGATGTCTGCATTTGGAGTTTCTAACATATTTGTTTCAGAAAGAAAAGCCTAAGGAGCTGTAACTACCCTGTGCAGCTATGCTAGGCAGTTGAGTCTTCCACCCCAGCCGGTGCAGGAAGCTTTAGTGGAGGATGCTCTACTATGTCCTTAACTTAGCCCATCCCATCCCCTAAGGAGAGATCAATTAACGTATCATAGCAATGAAGGCTTGCCACTTGGGAAGCTCACAGAGCTTACCAGACTCTGAGGAGCACAGATTCGGAGGTGGCAGGCAGGAGAGATAAAACACAAAAGCAAAACATACTCAAGAAAATAAGAAATTATTATTTAGTGACTTAACAGAGCACTAAAACAAAATATTTGGATATCCATAGCTGGTTAGTTCAATAGAGAAAGAAAAGTATGGACATCTGTTGGCACAGGTGGTCTTAAAATTAGAAAATAATCCACCTAAAGTCCTTTCATAAATAAATCATTATTAGTTAGTTTCTCAGACTTCTGACAGGTACAAATCTCTCAGAAGTAACTGCATTTTAGTTTGCTAATGGTCAGAATAATCTATTTAGCAACAGAAATAAAATCAGATTTAAAAAGCTTTCCATTCTTAAAAGAGACTGTTTTGCTTGAATAATTTAATATGAGGCAACCATACAAACCCAAAATTAGAGCTACATCTATATGCATCAAAGTTGATAAGAAATGGAAAAACTGGAATAGAACTCACTCTCTTCAAATCAGTGTTTACCACTGGTGTGCTGTATATAGTATAAGATAGAGTCAATATTTTAAAACTGCAAAGATTGTATGACATAACCATACACTGAGTATGGAGTATAGAATTCCCATGTGCCATTGTATGATGGGCAATAGTTACAGTAAATGCCAGTTATAGATAGTGTATGTATTTATAAGTCTAAAGCTTATCATCAACAAAGATATAGTAGGACCACAAGACTTTCATATGAAAGTATATCCTCTAAAATTTACCTTTGTAGCAAAGTGTTTTACTTGATTCTGTATTGGATAAGCATTGGCCGTGTTCATTCAGCCTGGGCGAGTTCAGGTGGTTCCAGTGGATCAGGGGAACACTCCAAATGGCACATCCTTTGGGATGGGGAATGTATGGTTTTCACGATGCACTGCAACCTCCTCTCGTTCCTGAATGAAACAGAGGCTGGTTGGCTAAAGAGTAATATATGTCAGCATATTGTTGGCCTGTTTGAAACATGTTGAGAGCATCTTAATTGTTGTTCCAACAGAATTTCATCCATAGTTTGTGCAACTCTCTGTACACTTGCTGAGCTGTTTACGTGCATGCCTGAAGAAGAAGGGGGGGAGGGAGGGAGGGAAACTGAATGCATGTGATTTTGTTTTCTTTCTTTTTATTTTCTTTTTTTTTTTTTTAACACTGAGAACAAAGGAGTAGTATCTCTATAGCAACACATTCAATTCTATGGATTTTGCTGCCTTGTCCCCCTCCTGCCCCACAAAGATACCACAAACCTTAATTTTGCCTGAGGTCACAATGCATGAAGTGGAAGGGAGAGGTATGTGTGAGTGTATGACAGAGACATAGAAAATCCCTCCCACTGACTCTTCTTTTTTTTAGGGTACAACCATGTTGCTGCCTGTAGGATCAATTACATAGCCTGACCATCTTGAGAAATTATTTTTTTTTTTTTAATGTATATATTTGAAACTTTTTCTGTATTTCAACGGCCTTCTGAGTCATGTTGCAAGCGATACTACTCTCGGCATGTCCGTGCATGCAGATGCTATTGAACTGGCTACAATGTTGACCTCATTCTTAGTCCATTCTGTCATTGATCCAATGCTGTACTTTGCATTTTTCTTTTAAATGAAGGTTACGAAATGTCACGGAGCCTTAACAGCATAGCTGGCATAAGTGGAAAAGCGATAGGATTATCCTCAGTGTCTGCGCCCTACAGCTCTCCTAGCCCAGTGAGACGTTCTTGGTCTCCCATCCCATCTATTTTGTAGCATGGATCAGTAGCAGAGAATGGTCTAAAAAGCTTTACTTTCAATTAGCCTATGCGATGTTGCATATAGTCCAGGTGACTAAGTCTGAAGATGCAATGTCTCACAGTAGCACCTGCTGCAAACGGTGTTACTTCTGATGCTTAGGTGACAACACTCCTAAATAGCACTCAGATGACAATAGGCAGGCATTGGCGTAGTACTGGTGGGCCATACGTGCTGCATGGTATCAGTACATAGGATGAAGGGTAGATGCACCAGATGGCTTCCTTCCTGGTGCATCCTGCTAGTATATGCTTATTGTGGCTAATGGTGGATCTACTGGCTCTGTATGGAATGGGTTAGGCGTTTAGTCGATGCTGAAACATGCCAACGATGGAAGATTTTGCTTTTCTCAGGATATTTTTGAGCCATAGGAACCCTGCAGGAGTTTGAGCAAACAAGCACAGTAGGATGAAACTTTGCATGGGCACCTATTTTAAGCTGAAAGCAATACTCAGACACACTGTAGAGAGGTCTCAGTCTGGCTGACTGCATGGGAAAAAAAATCCTGTTGAAGAAGAATATGGCTGCCTCTGCATGTAGCTATTTCACCTTTTCCTACTTCCTTTAACACTAAGATGCCGAGCTTGATGTGAAAAGCGCAGGGAAGAAGCTCAAGTACTGATTGTATTCTTTACATGCAGATCTTTGCAAAGAAAGTCCAGTCATTGCTAAATATATGCCAACAGAGGCAGTCAGAGTGACCTGACAAGGCAAGATGGAGATGAACATTGATGGCTAATAAACATCTCTGTGGAACTGTGCAGGCATAGAAGACCTTCTCATTTGGACAAAGTTAACTCGCTCCATGCAGGTTTTATGGATGATTCTTCATGGTTCTGGAGTTGTACTAGAGATGCAGGCTTTTTCTACGGCCAAAATGTAACAAAACTGTAGAAGATTTTTTTTTTTTAATCTATTTTTTTGTTCCATAGCATGACTTGCATGAAGACAAAAATGAAAATGAAAAAAAAACAAACAGCAAAACAACACACATACGAGAAACACTGCAAATGTATGATTAAGGAAAAAGAAAAAAAAAAAAAAAGCAAAGTTATATATTTTCTTTCAAAGCTCTTTACTTTTACATACATCGTTGTAGCCAAAATGTAAAACATTATAAAACTGTACATTTCTTTGCTATGGATCGCTTCTTTTTGTATACAAGATACAGAGTAATGGTTTTAAAAAGTGCAATCAGGCAGTCATCGGTCATATTGACCACGCCTTCACAGTTCATCACAACGACGTGGAAATCAAGAACTTTTAATCCAACTAGAAGTGTATAAAAATAAGAAAAACTTTTTCCTGTCTGTTTTTGTTGGCATGCTTGTGACACATGGGACCTTCCTTCGGACCTGACAGTAACAGCTGGTTAATTTTCCAGCTCTGGTTATGTTGTATTTTATTGATGTATAGATCCAACATAAAGACCCTTCATAAATTGTTCATATTAAGTAATCAGTATGAATTTTAAACAAAAGAGGTGTTATTTTAAAACTGGGACTTATAGTACAAAATCAGGAAAATACTCAAGTATAAATGGTCTCAAAGTTTAAGAAACAAGACAACAGCATTGTATGCAATTTAGTACTGAGTAAAATGCATGCACAATGTTATGCAAAACAATTCTAGCATGAAAATAAATTTTGTATCATGGTTTCAGTGCCTGCTGTATAGTGTAAAGGGGAATCCTTTTCTGAAGCAATCAGGGGTTTCCAGAGACTCGCTTCTAAAATCTTGAATAAATACAGTGTTCTCAACAGAAATGTAGGAGAAAAGCTTGGTATTGCTTTGGTTCTACAATGCTAATTTTGGTTAGTAGATAATAAATGAAGCCTGCAAACACTTGATACAACCGATGTCTAAAGAATTCACACCATTAGTAATTTTACAAGGGAAGATTAAAAACCCCTATAATGACCTAGGTATCTTCCTTTTCCCTCCCCAACATTAATAAATGTTTGTCTTTTTAGCTGATTAAATGAATTCAGTTTTTCTTACTTCTTTGGGCCCCGTCCTTCACTTGTTCTTCACTGAGCTGCACCAGTCCCCCTGATATGAAACTGAAGGAAATCCAGGTGTCTGAGTCACACTTGATTTGCCACACAAAACACGCACCCATAAGAACTGAGAAACACAATGGGATTAAGTTTCATTTTAGATGCTACAAATGACAACTATGGACTATGTGCCACTAGCATTCTAGTTGCCTGAGCATTTTTGGTAAAGTACTTCTGTAAAGGAAGGATACACACCTTTATCCTCACGTGAAGAACTTCAAAAGAGATGGCAATCTTCTAGGCAAGCTACAGCATCTGCAACTGCTGATGGGAATGGAAATGTAAAGGAATAGTATTCTTAGAGTCTGGAGGAAGTAGAGACTAAACCCAAAAAAACCTCAGAAGAAACACTCATGGCTCTGGTAAGTGCTAAATTATACACAAAAAAACCCCAACTGCAGCTGGACCTTGTTATCACAAAACTCTACTCCAAAAGAAAAACAAGGAAGACCTCAAGCTGTGTTTTAGGAATAGAGGAAAGGCTGATAATCTGAATTTGTACATAATTAGAGAACTCCTTTGTAGTCCTTCATACAGCATTATGTACTTGATTTCGGCTTTAGTGTCTCCCAAAAGCTGTTTTTCTCACAATGTTTCTAACCCATCATTCTCAGAAGATAAAGTTCTTACCTCCAGAGGTAAGATCCAGATTCATCCAGGATTTGCTTAATGAACAACTTTTCCTTTCATAACGTATTAAGAATCCAGAAATAGATTTATCTGCTGCATTTCTTATTTAACACTGACTCAAGGGCCCAGTGAAAATTCTCCACCACCACAAGGAATACCAACAATTCAGATCTGTAAATCCCATTACGTCTTCACCTTCCACTGCACTTTTCTTATATCTGAGCCTTTGAGAACAGGCTAGGTACAACCGTCTTTCTGTACCACTTTTTTACATTCCCCATTCTCATTTTCATTTAGAATCTCCTCTCTGCTCAATCTGATTTGAGGTAACCATGTCTTCTGGGTGTCTTCTATAAACCCTTCAGAAACAGAACCACACTTCCCATCCACTGCCCTTCAGGAGATGCTCAAAAACTTAAGATCTGTTTGACCCCAGAGTTCCCTTTGCACCACAGTGGCAGGACTGACAACACAGGGTGAGAGGGAAACAAGAAAAATGGAAAATCTCAGAAGCTGTTGCATTGAATCCTAAGAGAAATTTACTACATCCTCTCTGCTGCCTTGCGGTTAAGGAGCTTTTGCTGGGGTATTATGATTAAAACATTAATTCCTTCAAGCCTGGCCCCTCTCCCTACAGGAGGTACATATCTTTATTAAAGCATTAAAACTATACATGTGGGTAGATTCTGATTTCAGGCGTTCAGTAATGCCACCAGCTACTTCTGAGTTCACACCGTTGTAAGTAAGAGCAGAAGTTAGTTTTGCAGTTCAGTGACACTCTGCCTGTTTCCTGCTGGAAACAAACATCTGTGTTAACTCCTCTGTAAACTCAGCTTTCAGCAGTGAGTTCCCAGCTCTAAAACCCAGTGCTGACCCTTCAGCTGAACCCATTGGCAATTAGTGGCTTATGACTTGCTAACATTTAAAGCACAGATCAACCACACTTTCTACACATACAGCTTTTCCTCTGACTGCACGAAAACACTCATTTTTTCTGGACCAACCTGATGTGTCTACACAATTGCAATTTCAGACAGAAGAAATCTCTGAGAAGAGGTTTCTGCTTTCTCACTCCAACAAAAAAAAAGCACCAAAAAACCCTAGCTAAAATCACTGTGATAATAGTCAAGTGCAGCAGTCATTAATCTGGATAAAGTGATTTTTCATGTAAATTGCCTCCTCTCTCCCTAAAGTTTTAGGGCCAAAAAGAAAATACATCACTGAAACAAATGTCTGCTAGGACAAATGATCTGACTGAAATACAGAAGAGAGCAAGCAGGGCTAAGGCAAGAGCATTCAAAAAGGAGCTGAGCACAGAGCTGCTTACAAAAAAGATATCCTGAAGATATTACCCTGTCACTTTGCATATCCCTTTCATAGTTTCAAAACAAGGCAGCCTACTTCTCTGCTTTCCATATATATCCTGGAAGGAACTTTGCCTCTGAGCTCACACACAAACTACCTTCATTTCATGAAAACATGGTTAAGTTATGCAGGTTATTTTTAAGTCACTCACTTACTTGAGTTTGGGCATTAAATACCTGTCTGTTCAGAACTTCCAAAGCCTCTGCATTCATCTAGAACTGTAAGTGCCAAATTTTTCTCCTAGGGAAATACAAATGATCATTTGCAATCAAGAACAATATTTAAATTAAAATTGAACTGAATGTTAAAAAACAGGGTCAGAACTGCATCTCTTGACTTTCTTTATCTGACAAAGCAAATGCTATAACGAGATACCTTCTTTCCTGCATCAGCCTGGCAAAGCCAGGTTTTCAACTCTCAGCGTTCACTTGAACATTTAAAAAACTTCATGCAACTGCATAGGTCCAAATATCTCCAGGTACCAAAAATTAAAAGCACGTGCCTCAAGGCTTCCCTCTTTTTTCCTGTTGCCCAAGCTAGAGATTCCTTGAGCAGCAAAAGGCAAAATGTTGCATTTGTGTTAGCTCAGCTGTCACTCTGAGGTACCTGCAGTGCCTCTGGACTCGAAGGGCTTAGCAGGGATGACACAGCCTGTGCAGAGGCTGCTGACTGTGAGTCACACCAGCACAACAGCAGACAAGGCTTAAACCCAGGGAAAGCAGCTCAGCGGGGCCACGCTTTGCTGGGGTGGTGTCAGTGCAAGTGGGTGACTGGAGAAAAGGCATCAGTAGCTCAGGAGGTGGGAAATGAGAAGGACACAGGATGAGTTTGGAAATGGGTTATGCAAGCAGGAGAAATGGAAACAGCAATCAGCAGTGAGTGGGAAAGAAGAACAAGGAGAGAGCGAAAGAGTGGCAGTGAGATTTGCCCAAAATAATCATCAGGAACCACTAGTCTACAAGGTAGAGCCTTGGCCTGGGACTCAGGAAATGGGAATTTTATCCTTGACTCCTCTGTGGACATGCTAGGTTACCTTGGTTGGGCCAATTTAATTTTTTGTGCGTCAGCTTCTATTTCTGTGACATTATCCTCTTTTTAAAGTGTTCTGATATCAAAAGAGGAAAAGCCATATTTAAGAAGGAATATTTATTATAATCTATCTACTCAGAACTAAGACACCAGAGCAGAGAAGTGTCTCTTCGTTATTTAAAAGATGCCATATTTCCTTCTCTTCAGAAGAACACAATGCCCCTGTAGGAATCCCTTTTCTTTTGTATTTTAAAGCAGAGAATTATTATGGAAAATGATTAAGCACCCACACAGTTAAAATGACAGAACATTTTCATTACTGATTGGCAACTCCTCTGCTGCCCTAATTTAGGTACCACATGCCTTCATGCATTCAAATCAGTAAAAACAAAACAAAAGCTAAACTCACTTGACATTTGCAGCCAAAAACTGAAGTCATGTCAGAACATAAAAAATCTCCCAATTTTTGGGCTCGCTTCTAAATACAAAGAAAAAGTAAAAACATAGTCTGCTAGCAAAGTGTTCACATACACTTAAAAGAACTATGGTGACCAGGGAGCACTGGAACAATATTGAATTGAAATTCTGAAATTCCACTTACAAAGTCTTGACCCCAAGATCTGAAGACAGAACTCCTACCCAAGACTGCATAGTATCTGGATAATCAGATGGTCTACAGGCAAAGCAGCCTGAAAACAGATGAGGAAGTTGGAAATGAATGGAGAGAGAGGCTAGCCGACACAGGAATTTGACTTACACTCCACCCCCTACCAACCTGCAAACCTGTATCTGGAAATGAGACAAAATCCAACATGTCACAAAATAAAAACTCCAGAGAAAATTCTGCAAAATGAATGTCACCCCTGAATTTTCTCATCCTTCAGCCAGCTTTTATTCGTAAAGAACTACTTTGTTGTTCTTGTTTCCAATCAAGATGAAGAATGTGTTCTCCCAATACTCTAAATTTATGCTTCCTCACTCTCCCACAAGGAAACACGTGGTTCATCCAGGCCATGATTCAAAGACAGAGACTATTTTCACTGCTGAATGTTTTCAGTCACTCTATTTTGATGTTTTACAGAGGCACTGATGAGTAAAAACTGCTGCTGCATTAAAAACAGGTGAATGCTGAGACAACCGACTGATGAACCTGAATGAAATGCACAAATAGCTCAAGAATGTGCCTTCAGTCCTTGAACATCCAAATGGGTTACAAAATAACAATGGCTTTACACATGCAGTTCCTCCGAATTAACTTCAAAGGAACATATGATACAGACATACATCTTCAGTTATATTCACCCAGTAGAAGGCCATTTCCATTAAAGCAAAGCATTTAAAATCAAGGCTATTATTTCTAACATGGAGCAAAACATGCAAGATCAGCATTTACTGGGAAATAAGAACAGCACAAAAGCTAAAGGGAAAGAACAAACCACATACTACCTCTTCTTTGCTTATGTATCAAGATATTGATATGTAAAAATTTAAAGTGGCCAATTATTTTTGTGTCAGCTGGAGTTGTCAGCAAATTCCATGTAAGCATCACTTTTCTACTGTGCACATTTTAAACCACAATCAAAACCACACAAGATGTGTCTCTACCCCAGGCTGTATCCATTCCAAGCCCCTGGAATTTTTAGCTAGTATTAAATGGCATAAGCAGAACTCAAATACTGATAAAAAGTTCTGGAGTCCTTTTCAATAAAATACCTAGTGAAAAGAAAAAGCTCAACACTTACCATGCACCATAAAAATATCAAAATTGCTCAGAGTGACCAAGATCTGTTATCATCTTGATTTCTAACACAGGGAAAAGGAACTGGAAGTCCCAAAATTATTTAAGTCTTGTTTAAATCAGAGCCAGAGTTTGATTCAGTTTTCCTGAATCAAATGGAAAAATAGTAAGTACTTGGTTAAATGCTGGACTAGATCAGAGGCCTGATCAAAATATTTCTGAGCCTGCAAGGTGAAGACAGATGTTTGTGTTTTGGCTGAGGAGGAGTAGAAACTTCAAGCTGTGCTATGAATGAGAAAAAACCTAAACATTGCAGGTCAACAACTCACATTATTATAAATAAACAGTGGAAGAGGAAGAACAATAATATCCATGAAACAGAATAATTTGTCTCTCATCTCACTCCCACCACACCGGCAGGCTGGAATGCTGCTATGCCGTGAGATTATTCAGTCTTCAGGAGCTGTATCTTGGCTCTGTCCTCCCCCTCCTTTTCCCTGTTTTAGCTGTCTGTATCAGGCTCTCTATTGCCATTCATGTAAATATTTTTCCATGGCCACCTTTCTCTTGTACATTCAAACCGATCTCCTTCATCAGTTGTCCCTCCCCATCTCTTAAGTCTCACAACTCAAAACATGCCATAAAAAGCACAATCAAATCACCTTCCCCCACCTGCCCCACAAATTCTCTGTGCTGAAAACATGTAGCTGAGCAAAAGCTCCTGACACTCAATTAGAAGTGACCTTTGTGATGATTGCAGATGGCAAGACTAGTCAAACACCAAAAGGACTGCCAACATGCAGATAGAGAACTCAGTGTTGTGTAAGAAGTGGTGACTGGGCAAACCATCCTCCATCTTTCAAATGAACACACTTTAAATACAGGGCCTGGTATGCTGAGCATAAAAGCATCAAGTAACTCAGAATGCCACACCAAGTCGAATGACATCAGTGACCACCAAGTGGCCCAGACAAATCCCCCAAGAGACAGAGACTTCTGACACAACACACACATCATCCTACCAACATCCTTGGAAATGGAGCAGGAGTGTCTTGCACAGGTGCATGAGGCTGCGTGAGTAACAACTGCAGATCTCTTAGGACTTCAGATAACAGAAAGGCACACAGAAGGGAGGCCTTCTCCCCCTCCACCCAAAGGCCTGAAAGTTCTCCGGACTGAAGGTCAACTGTTCACAACTTGTTCTCCCTCATGAATGTCAGCTCACTGGCAGGTTTACTTATCTTCAGAAAATAGGAGGGGAGAGCAGCTGCACAGACACTTGCTTAATTTGTTCCAGTGTCTTTTTGTAAATATATACATATATATATATATATATAATAAACTTTGCCAGTTTATTTCCACTTGAACCTGAATGTTTATTTAACAGGCTTCTTGCTTTGTTTATCACAGAAGACCTGTTAAAGAACTCTATGAAGCACAGCACACTGGGTCTGCATTTTGCCTTGCAGAGACTGACCTTCTCCGTGAGGATTATCAATAGGCAACAGCCATAAACTCTTAACATCAGCATGGAAAGTTGTCTTCTTCCACTTGATTAGGAACTTTTCACTGTGTGTTCCCTTCCTCACAGAGACAGCCATAGCTGATTCTGTACAGTGCTTTATTCTGCAAACAAAGCCACTGACATACAAAACACAGCAGTCACACCTAAAAAAATGAGCACCAACTTGGTTTTGACATTCAGCCATGTACCTTCTACAATGAATTCTATTCACTCTGTACTACAGCAGCACCTAGAAGCCCTGACTGATGACAAAGCACTCACTACATCAAGAAAAGTCATTACTTCCCAAAGTCTTCAACCTACATAGGCACAACAAAGGAGAGAAAAACACAGTTCTTCCCTTTCAAAGATGAAGATCAGATGCACATATGAAACACCAGATCAAGACCAGGAACAAAGTGACATACTCCTTTCTTTCTTCACTTTATCATCCAAAATCATTCTTTGTGTTCCAAAAGTGTGTTCGTGTTATAGGCATGAAAAATTGAAAACAATTTCAAATATGCAATTCACATTTATTTGTTACATAATTTGTTGGACTCCTCTGCAATGACTGCAGCAACAGCACACACAGTCAAAACATGTCCAGTCCAGTAAACCTCATGTAAGGCACATATTGGCTGTGATTAATCAAGGAACAGACTTATTTAGAGGAGTTGATTACTGAAGCAAGAAAACACGTTTATTTGGTACACAGATTTTGCAGAGATCACAATAGAAATCTCAGACAGGACTGTCAAAGAAAGCATGAGAAACTGTTCAGTGCATAGAATAGAGGAGCTTTGGTATCCAGAAAGTGGCATTTAGAACAGTTAATAAATATCAACTTATATAATTAAAAGTGCAAGAAGTCAAAGCCTGGAATTCTTCATTGGCATGAAGAACCACAGCTAACACATGGAATAAAAAAAAACATTTTACAATAGAAATCTTAATTCTACATATTTTGCAGAGTACTCATTTGATTATTCTTTTAGCATCAGAAATAGTTAAAATCACCTTCGTAGTCTACTCAATTTTCTCATATATTGAATAGAAAAATAAAATACTCTTGAAAGTGAAGGCAAGAACTATAACTGTTGTAAAACCAAGGGTGGAAAAACCCATGCAGACCCATATTATCATATTATTTCTTCCCCTTCATGTGTAAGCTGATACATCATTAGGTCTTCATGTCCTATTTCCTAAGAACTTTTCTCTGAGCATTTTGTAGTTCTGTAATGCTTCTTCCCTGGCAAGCCTACTTTAAAAATTAAACCACTGTTTAGCAACAGCAGGTCTCATTAAAAGGTGCATGTACTACACAGTAGAATCCTCTATATTTAGAACTTGAAATATGTTGAATACCAGAGCAAATATAAGTATTGTGAGTGGTAAACATCCAGTTTAATGGCATCCACTGTATTTGTATGGAAAAAAATAGTTTTATAAATAGCTACCAAAATTTTGCTTAACATAGGCAGCTAATAATAATTATATTATTAGCTAATAATATCCAAAGGCATCTCATTTCACACTTTTTCCTTTCTCCTATCAAAACACATGATAGGCCTATGTTCTCTGCCAAGCCCCCACCTGGAACAAGTACTGTGGGCATGCTGTGAACAGCAACTCAATTGGGCTGCAAAACAGAAGAGAACCTGAAATTACCAGGAGGATTCTGCTCTGCCTTTTAGGCTGGAGAACTACTAAAATCTTTCTGGTTAGATTTTAATGTCTTCCTATTCCAAAGCAGATAAAAACACAGGAGCTACATTGGCTCAAGCTGTCCTCAACAGCTACAACTGATTTATGCCTTTTGATAAGAACTTTTTGATTGTTTCTAAGAGCTCTTAGAAGTTTTCCTTCCCTGAGCAGTAGCTTCAAAAACTTCAGGTCTGGTTTGCAAGTTAATGATAATTCATGCAGATCTGCATCCCTATAAATCTATAATAGACTAATGTCTGGCACAGTACATAATCCATGAAAAATACTGCTCCTTTCACAGTTTAATCCAGACAAAGCTAGTTCAAAAGGGCCTCATTTATCCCTTTTGCCAGCCTTCTAAATTACATCGCTTTTTTTTTTTCTTTTAATCTTAATCTTCTGCTTAAAATGTGTGTATGCATCTAGTCGTGTTCACTGGCATTTCTTTCTGACACAAACAATTTTCTGAGCTGCTGGGCCCTCACAACCACAGTAGAAGTTGGCAGGTACAACATATCATGATGTAAAGATACAATAACAAACTACCTTCTCAGACCATATCTTCAGACTGAACTTATACACCAATAAGCTGTTAACCAGTCGGTTTCTTCCTCAACGACATCTCAGAAGAACAAGAAAATGTAAATCCGTTTTCAGTTGTATTCCATCAAATCAGAATGTCTGTAATTCTATCTGTGGGTAAGAAAGTCAATTCCTGTGGCAAGAACCCAGGAAACAATTTTTTAAATATTACAGCTTTTCATGCATAGTCATTCCTTTTGGATTTAGGAAAAATATCTGCAGTTTCCAGCTCCTGTGTTAATCATGGGCAGTTCTCCTGTAGCACCTCTGAGCTACACAATCCAAAGATGTCCATCCACATACACGATGCTATGATTCCAGGTGTGCTGGGTCTAGTGAGGAATTTGACAGAGGGCCATGGAGTGTCCTGCCCCACATCCAATTAAGATCTGTTTTGTACAGCCAAGAGCTTCGACTGGCTTTGGGACACGAACATTTGTTTCTGTTCCATCACCACACATGCCATGTTCATTCCATCCCCAAGAGAAGCACTGGCCACCTGAAAGAGAGGGCAGAAAATACAGAATAAAGGCCACAGAAACACAACAGCTTTGCTTAGTTTTGAGAAGCAGATTTATCGAGTCATTTTCTTTTTAGGTTCTAAGAAATTCTGCTAAGGTGGGAAAAATGTTCTGGTTTTCTAGAAAATGTAAATAAACCCAAATGACTGATTCTCCATCCTGTTCTATACTGTTAGCAACAGAAGAGAGATCAAAATAACAATTTAAAATCACTTAGTAAATACATAGTTCAGTATTTATGTGGAGCCCACAAAAATCTCTCTGCATTTTAAGAGCCCTCCCTGAAATGATGTAGAATCTCTGTCTTTCAAGTTTCCCCTAGTAAGCAGAAGTATGACAAATCAGGAGCAGTGACTTGATTCATTCACAGCATGATCTGCAGGACTGGGGAACACAGAGACACAGTTCAGCCAAATTGCATTTCATTTCTAGCTTCAAGTTCACATGTCACCTTTTTCCTTTAAATACAAGTCTTCAACAGCCTGCTCTATTCTTAATCATCCTACCTCTTCTGCTTGCTTTGACATCATTTCACTTCTTTTATTATTCTTATTTTCCCTCATTATTATTTATTTTTGTAAGATCTACTCTTTCATGTCCCAAATAATAATTCATGCATTATTATTACCCCATAGTACTCTTTTTTTGAAGCACAAGATACAAATTTTGTTCTATAAATGGCTGGCATAATAAAAAATCCACCAAAACCTCCTTATTCTGAACTACAAGTACTATTTCTTCCCTATTTTCTATTCTTTATTTGGCTGCCAGAGACTGTGTCTGTGACTTTCTGTACTAAAAAAGAAAGCCATCCTGCCATATAATCATGTTTGTGATGCTATTGTTATTTTTGAAAAGCAGCAGGTATTAACAGCAGGAAGTAGCATTTTGGATTCCAAATAATGAGAAGAAAAGTGCCAAAATTCACAAACTCTAATCCCAGTCACAACTTTACTTTTCAAAATTAAGAAACAAATTCATTGCAAAGCTAGCAGGGCCATCTTCTCTGCAAATCCTGCAACATTTCACTGTCCTCCGCTCTCTTTACATTTATTAGTATATTGAAGTTCCCCTCTTCTGCAATGAAGTATAAGCATTACTCAGGCCAGATGTAACTAAGCAAAGATATCTCATTTTCCTGGCAATCTTTAAGGCAGTGGAAAACAACAAAGCACCACCAGAACATCACAGTAGCCAAGGCATATCTCTCTCTTCTCTGATACAGAAGTTCTGTCACTCTTATCTCAGGAGGCACCAGATGCTCTCATGATTGTGCATGTACAATATTGACAGCCCAACCTACATCCCAAATGCACTCACATGAGCTGCCAAAACGTGCCAAAATCTGAGTGGGCTATACAACCCATTTAAGTATCAATAGCATCCTACAGCCTAATAAGATTTTGCTTTTTGGTAAGGTTCCAGGTAAAGATGTTTATGTAAATATTAAAAAGCAGAAAAAGGACACCTTAAGCCCATAATGGAGACATATCTCAGACGAATCACTCAAGGAAGCTGCACTTAAGAAAAGACATTTTTTGGCACAGTTAATATGTGAAGCCTGCAGAAAGAGCCAAGCTTACAAATGTAATGAAAAGAGAATGCAACATGCCCTAACATTAATAAGATCACTGTAGTAAACTTTTTGTTACTAGACACCAGCAATTACTACAACAATTTACTTGCTTCTATGAAGACTCACTACATCTGTTTAAAGGGTTTCTTATTTCTTTTTTCATCCTGTCCCATCAGGACAAGAGAGAGGAAACCAGAAATTTCCTGGTCACTATGTATTACAAATTGCCCAGTGGAACATGAATGGTATAATAAATAGTCAAAGAAACAATGCATTAGGCCATTAACCTCTCAAATTGATAAACATATCCAGTGAAACATCTTTTGAGAAAACATCATAGAAAAATTTACAAGCTAGGAACCCTCCCAGACAAGAACATCTTCCCTAAAATAAGGATTGTGGAGTCTTTTCCAGCCTTTACTTCTCCAAGCACCAAAGGCCACCAAAATATATTTTTCTACGTGAGTCTAGTGATCTCTAAGGTTACTGAAATGGGACAAGAGTGAAAACTGGCAAAAGAAAAATAGAAAGTAAGTAGGATTTATGAATGGTCTTACACAAAAATGGCTTTTACACCCATGGAGAGCTGGCAGAAATCTGAAGAGAAAAAAGGCAGCTGACACATACGGAATGACAGGCCACAAAAATGTTTCTCATCACCATCAAGTCAGAATCAGGAAAGCTAAAAGGGAGAGAATTTTTGCTGTGAAAATGAAAGGTGTAACTGTACCACATCTGCCTGTTGAATATTCAGTGAAAGGTTTGTACATAGAAATAGCCAAATGCTTGACTTGTGTCAGAGAAAGCAGAATTTGCAGAAAACACACCAAGTCCATTTTTTGGGCAGTAACATATTAACAAAACTTGAAGGAGAGCTGAGCAAAGTAAGTGTGGTGAAGGTGGCCAGGAGGGAACAAACAGCTATGTGAATCACTGGCACAGAAGACAAAGTCAGTGAAGACTGAAAGTAATGAAGTAATTAAAAAATGGCATAAAAGGAATATTGGCAGAGTTAAAGGCAGACACTAAGAACTGATGGCTAGCCTCTGGACAAAGGGCACCATTTAATGGTTCTTCCCTTATGTTCTCTTCCCTTTTTGTTTTTTTTTTTTCTTCTTTTCTTTCTGATCACAGCTATTCCCAGTTTATTGCTGATAAAAACATAGAACCAGCAGACCTACATGCCTTCACAAGAAAATTCCATTTCTATGTCTGTGCCACACCTTCCCAGGATGGAAGGGCATTAGAATGATGTGTATTAGCACAGCTACAAATTGCTTCTAACAAAATTTATAACAAGCACCATAACATGTTCTCAAACCAAAAGATTTGTGTTTGATGAAATGAGGGAAGGTTACTCCATGTTACTGGTTAAGTGAAACTGCATAAGATGTTGCATTTACTTGTCTCTTTTAAAACAGAAGTACTCAAAGTACAAATCAAACCCACAGAACTCACATGGCAACACAACAGAATCCATGAGTTTTCAGTTTCAGGGAATTTCAGTTGCATTCACAGTTACACTAATCAAAGTTTAGAGTAATGCTATGCAGGATTTTTCCCAAAACATTAAGTATACAAGACATAGGGACAACAAAATTCTTAACAAATCTGTTTTGGTCAAACAACACAAGAAGTGGCTACTGCTCTCTTTCTGTCTGCAATAATTATCCAGGCTTTTCTCCAGGTAACTGAAGTGACAACAGTAATCTAGAGGTTCATTAAACTGGAGAAACTATTTCTAGGTAAAATAAAGCTGCATCAGATTGGAGAGAATTCTGGAGAAAGAAGACAATTTAGATCTGCTCCTTATTGCTGAGTGGAATCATCAGATGGAAGAATCAATGTTCTCAAATAAGCTCTGGGTGAGATTCACTGGATTTAACTTCAGCCATCTAAAAAATAAGCAACTTAGCTACAGATCATTATCCTCTGTATTCCTCTAAAGCCAATGGAGACATCTGCATCTCTCCAGCAGAGCAAGAGATTCATCTTATCTAAACACCGGTGTGAAAATCAAGTCTGTCTCACTTTGGTGATGATGAAGGGAGACCAAGTGATTGTCCTAGCCTTGGTAGTATCAGTTTTATGCAGCCGAAGATAGGTTATATTAAATCACATCTTCACAGTTGGTCTGAAGGCAAAGCAAGAAAAACTGAAAACAAGGAAGCTGCAAATATCACTGCAGCCTAGCTTCAGGCTACAAACACTCTGCTTCTAAATCAGCCTGTGCCCTGGAGGCTTATCATTGAAATCTTCAAAAGCTCCTCTTTTCTGTTTCTCCTCTCCCATTCCTTCCACCAGCAAACAAACAGAAGTTGGCCTTAAAGACAAGCCAAGTATCTTGAAGTCAAGTCATTCAAGAGACAGCTTCCCATTTTAGGGAAATGTTAAACTGTTTTAGTACAGCTCTATTATACTGGCTCTGTGCTCTTAGCAATACTCCACAACACTTCAAATTATTATTTCTTTTTGACCTTAAATTAGTGCTACTCTACTCTTTTGTTATAGACCAAGTCACAGTAGGCAGGAGATCAACTCAGATTAAGTCACAACTCTTCAAACAGCATCAGGACTGGACCACAAACAAAATTTAGGTGTCTTCTAAGACACCTCTTCTTAGACTTCTAAGCTACCTTCCCTTGATTATTTGAAAGCCTTCAAAACCTCATAAGGAACAATGTAACACTATACAGAAGGAGATTTAGACTATACTTCTCCCAGGGAGTTTCAAAACACAAATTAATATGTTTTCCTGTTTTTTTCAGGACATCTGGTGGTTCAGGGTTTCACATAAAATAAAATGCAATAAGCATCCCTCTACATTTTTGTATTTTTAATAGCAACAATTCTGCCATTAGTGCAAAAGATCTGCAATTGTAAATTATAAGAAACAGGATTGATATCAATTGCTTTCTGCAGAAAAACAAGAAACTGTATTAGTAGTTAAAAGGGAAGTCTAGGCATTGCACAAAATGTCATTGAAGGCAAAGCTTGGTAAGTGGAACCTACGATAGCATCATCTCAATACACAGTTGTATGTCCAAAACTAGGAAAGAACTATGAGAATCACATTCAGGTTTTATTGTGGAGCCACATTTTCAAGTAGCAAGCTGTTGTGTGCTCCAGGCAGCCCATACAATTGCTGCTCGACCCTCAGAAATGTGTGTCTGGCTTTCAAGTGAGTAAGCTGGATAAAAATCAGACACATTGCAGTGCTAACACAATATACAGGTAAGAAACACCATACATTTTTGATATTAAGTACAAAGCCATGGTGCTAAAGGCATGCTGATTTCAAAGTTAGCCTCCAGTCAACAACCTGCCCTCAGTCCACCTTTACATCATTAGTAGCTCTCTCTCCTCAGGCAGTGGACCTAAACCACTCAGACCCCTCCTCAG